TGGGGACATTAAGGGGGACATGGGGGGGCATTGGGGACACTGGGGACATTAATGGGGACATTGGGGATGTTGGGGGGACACTGGGGACATTTGGGGGTCACAAAAGCTCTGGAGACACCCGGCAGGATTTGGGGCAAAATCAGCAGATTTTGGGGATACCTAGAAGGATTTTTGGGGTGAAACTCTGGGATTTTGGGGTTCCTAGAGGACTTTTGGGGTTCAGTCAGCAGATTTTGGGATTTCTAGAAGGATTTTGTGGTTCCAAGAGGGATTTTGGGGTGAATCACCCCAATTTTTGTAGTTCTAAAGGATTTTGGGATGAAACAAGCAGATTTTGGGATTCCTAAAGGAATTTTGGGATCAAAATTGAATTTTGGGATTCCTAGAAGGATTTTGGGGTGAATTATGTGAATTTTGAGGATCTTAGAGGAATTTCGGGGTGAAACTCTGGCATTTTGGGATTCCTAGAATGATTTTGGGGTGAATCTCCCCAATTCTGGGAATTCTAAAGGGATTTTGGGGTGAAACGAGCAGATTTTGGGACCTGCCCCCCCCCTTACCAGGTCACCCTTGGTCCGGGGCCGCTGGGCAGAGACAAGAGACGGTGAGGGGACAATGGGGACATTGGGGACAATGGGGACATTGAGGGGACATTGGGGACATTGGGGACATTGGGGACATTGGGGACAATGGGGACATTGAGGGGACATTGGGGACAATGGGGACATTGGGGACATTGGGGGACATTGGGGACAATGGGGACAATGAGGGGACAATGGGGACATTGGGGACATTGAGGGGACATTGGGGACATTGAGGGGACATTGGGGACATTGGGGACATTGGGGACAGTGAGGGGACAATGGGGACAGTGAGGGGACATTGGGGACAATGGGGACATTGGGGACACTGGAGACAGTAAGGGGACAATGGAGACACTGGGGACATTGAGGGGACATAGGGGACAATGAGGGGACAATGGGGACAATGGGGACAATGAGGGGACAATGGGGATATTGGGGACATTGGGGACAGTGAGGGGACATTGGGGACATTGGAGACATTGGGGACAATGGGGACATTAGGGACATTTTTGGGACAATTTTGGGGAGACACCAAGGGGACATTGAGGACACTGTGGGGACACCCTGAAGTGACACTGAGGGGACATTGGGGACACTGGAGGTGCCACGAGGGGACATTTGGGGACACCTGAGGTGACACAAGACGGACGCTGAAGGTGACACGGGGACACCGGAGGTGACACTTGGGGACACCTGGGGACAATCCAGGTGACACCTGGGGACACCGGGGGGGGTTGGTGACACCGGGGGGGGTTGGGGACACC